GTGGCTGCAGTCTTGAACAGGATCGGCATGGCTCCGGATTGGCCTGGTTTCAAGTAGAGAGTGTAGACAGAGTTCTGCTTCAGTACCTGCAATTGGGTCTCTTGGCGAATAACCAGCCTGCCCATCGCCTTGATCAAAGCTGCCTCCTTGTCCTGGCGACCCGGCGACGCTGCCCCCTGTATCGGGGACCGAAGCCCCCTCCTGAAGGCTCTCCAAAGGGCGCCCTCTGGCGCTTGTCCGTTTTGGAGTGCTCGTGTGGACGGTCGTTGTGCGACAACGTGTCCTCCATGAGAAGGTTGACCAGCTTGCCGGCCCCCTCCATGGCCACTGGCCCGAAGATCTCGTGGATCTGTTGATCCGCCATGATGCAGTGCAGCTGTAAAGTTGATGCAAAATTGCCACAGAACGGTGCACTGGGTATTGTGTGCTCTAGGCTGTGCAAGCTTGGCCTTGCAAAAATGACATGGGGAGCTACAGCGGGGGTATGACTGACACATCCTGTGGGCAGCATCATTGTGGAGGCGAAAGAGCTCAGCATGTGTACGACGGTAATGCAGCTTCATGGTTTTATGCGAGGCTACCCACTGGCCACACACGAGACAATGCTGAAGGTAGACTTCGTTGCCTGTGGAGTGAAAGATAGCTCGGGACTCATATTGCCGGACTAAGTCGGGCCATGGTGATTCAGCAAAGAGTGCAGGTCGCTGTGATGCTGGCACAATTGGCTCGATAGGCGCGGCAGGCAACAAAGCGTGCTTCGCTGCACAGTAGTTTCCCTCCACATGTCGTTGTAGAATCTGCCAAGTAGGAAATCGTTTTCCACATGCTGCACATTGGGGCATTCCTCCTATGGCATCGACCGCTCGATCAAATGTTGGTTGCTCAAGTTCCAGCAGACTCTCCGGATGTTGCTTGGCCACATGAGTTAACAGTGCAGACCGAAGGGCATCAGTGATACCACATACCGGGCAGGTGCACTTTGACATGGTCAGGTTAGGCACCTGAATCATAGCCGACTCAGAGGGCGGCTGAAGGCTTTCCGCGAACTGCTTCCACCATGAATCATCAGGCCCGCAGATTAAGGGATCTGTCGGCGGCGATTCAGTAGATTTCCTACGAGCCTCCGTCTGGAGGAGTCGTTGCAGCATAATGTGCGGCAGCTCAAGACCCACCCGCCTGTTGGGCTATATCTGCATTAGTTGTGAAGGTGAGATGGACTGGGCTCCTGAGAATGGCACGGAGGTGCTTGATCACAGCAGTCTCCAAAGTTTTGTGATCTGATGGGGTAAGGCCACAGGCTGGCAGAGCATAGGAGATGCTGCTCCAAACACAGGATTTCCACAGATCGACTCTCTGAGCAGCAGTCAGATGATGTCACCCTTTGAGGACAGAGCCGAGGCGATTGTAGGTGGCAGTTCCTTTCTCTAATCGATACTGCAGAGTTTGATTCTCAAAAGCTTGGTAGCTGACTTGAGCACCGAGGTACGTGAACTGTGAGACCAGGGGAATGGCCAGGACCCGGCTGCGAAGTTGAATGCGAGGAACCTTGCCCCCTGGGACCTTGCGAACATATCGTCGTGTGATGGTGTTGCTTAAGGTGCCTCTTAAGACCAGGACAGCTTTAGATTTGGCATCGCTGACCTCCATGCCAAAAGCTTCGAGGGTGCTGAACAGAGCAACAATGCAGTCAATAAGTGCCTCAAACTCCGGTATACTGCGGAAGCTTTCGGCTGCAAAATGGTCATCGGCAAAGACAGTGAGAAGCTGGTCCACCTTGTGTTTTCCGATGCGGGCTGCAAGCTGAGTGCATATAACATGCGAAAAGACCAGCCGAAGCAGAGGCGAGGCAGAGCAGCCTTGTCGAATGCCACGGCTCGCAGGGAAGGTGCGGTACTGGTCAGCATGGCGCACGGTATAGCGAATTTGGGAATGCCATTGCATGACTACAGCAACGAGACTGTCAGGCAGTTGCAAGTCTCGCATGCCTTGGAGAAGATGATGGCGAGGCATTCTGTCAAACGCCTGTGACAAATCTAAGGTAATCATCAGGGCACCAAAAAGGGGAAAGGGCTTGTGGCGTGCTTTCCGGGCGTGCAGATCCTTGCGATGGTTGCCAAGTTCGTCCCTCACAGAGGCGCAATGCTTGAAGGCTCTGCGCAGTGCATCGTATTGGGCCCGACCTTGTTGGTAGGCATACTGCGGGAACTGTTGGATGGCAGCAAGCATCTGGGGTATGTAGGGGCCGACCAGACAGCTTAGCACTTTCTTACCCAGGGGGCAGGATAGGCCTATGGGCCGATGGTCCTCCGGTTTTGTGCCCGGTTTTCCCGGTTTGGGGACTAAAGCAAGGTCTACATCTGCCCAGCTAGGGGGGACAGCAACCTCCGTATGAGCCCATGTCTGCGTGAGGCAGGCACACAGCCACGGCGACACAAGATCTGCACAGCGTCGCCAAACTGCACTCGGAGGGTGTTCCTTCGGAACTGCTTTGCGACGCGGAACCAGCGTCAGCTGTTGGGAGAGCTCGTTGGGATCAAGATCTGGAGCAGTAGAAGTGGACCAGAGACCTCTGGTCGCATCCAGGGCAACGGCATCTGTTTCACAAAAGCGCTGTTTGAAGTGACAAGCCAGGAGGTCCACCTCTTGGGCTGCATCAAGCATTCGCCCTTGAGCATCTCTCAATTGTAGTCGATGTCTTGTCTGTTGCGGAGCAATTCTATTCACAACTTGGAAGACCCCACGTGTGTCGTGCTTGTATGCACATTGGCGAGCCTCGTCCATAGCCGTGGTCAGAACCTGTTTACGGGCAGCACGATAGGCCGCTTGGTGTTGCTTATGGTGAGGAGCGAAGACACGCCAAGCCTTCCAGGCCGCAAACCATCCTCGCAGCCCGTTCTTTCTTATCCTTTTGAAGGCCCTCCACTTGTCCCACATGGACCTGATTCCACTCTGCACGTCAGCTGTCTGCCAAGGCTTGGCAGGAACTGAGGCGACAGCCTTCGGGAAGATTTGCAGACAGGCCTGGTATAGAACTGTATGCAGTTGCTCAATACCAGCAATTGTGGGATTAGTCTGCATGTGGTGCATGGCAACTTGACGAATGTGGCTTAGCTGCCACGCATGCTCAACATGAGTGGGGTCATCAAGTGCAGTCAGAAGGGCCTCGCGATCAATGGAGTGAACAGCTCGTGCCGGGGTACGAGTCCAATGCGGTCTACGCAGGTTGAGACAGCACAGTAAGGGAAAGTGATGTGCTCCACTGTGCCTAGATGCCCCCACATGGAAGCTGCGCATTGCATATGCCTGCTTGGCCTGCGATGTGGCATCTCGTCTTCGCACCCACAAAAAATCAATCTGGGATTCCACTTGGCCCCATTTGAAGGTGGAGGCGGCTCCAGAAGTCGGGTGCCTCCAGGTGTTCAAGGAGACAAGGTCAAAGGTGCGACACAGGCCGATAAGGTCCTGAGCATCCTCTGGTGGGTGCTGAGGCATAGGCAGCACGTGATGTCCTACGTGTGGCAGATCAGCAGCCACAGGGGTGTTGAAATCCCCAGCCAACAGGATTGAGTCTCGGACAGGAACACGTCCCAAGCTTTTGTGCAGCGACTGCCAGACTTGCTGGCGCTGATCAAGGCAGGTGGCAGCCTTCGGGTTGTGCACTTTTTGATAAACTCCGAAGATGTGTAAATGTCGTGCCTCTCGCCCCGGTAAGGGGAGGCGGACGTGCGTGATTCGTCCCTGCAAGGTGTGTTCATACCGTAGTTGGGACGGGGGCACCAGGGACTGCTCTATCAAAATTAAGACTCCGGCTTCTTTCCTAGTCCGACGGCCTCCATGTATACATACCCAATCTCCTGACGTGAATTCGAAGTGGTCAGTCCAACGGCTCTCGACCACTATGGCGATATCAATGGAAGACTGAGATAAATAGGTCATCAACTCCGGGTAAAGGCCTGAGCCAAGTCCACCCGAGTTCCAAGACAGTACACGGAGTCCACGAACACGCTCCTGTCGGAAGGAATGCCGAGTTGGCACACTCACTGGTAGTCCCCTGAATTGAGAAGGCACGTCCTGTGCCCACAAAGTACGCCCGCGATAGCGGGTAGAGCCTTGTTGCAGTGCACGGTGGCATGCTCGGTGGAAAGCACGCTTGACGCAGCGGCTACAATCGCGCGAACTCAGACCGTGACTATTAGGGAGGTCACTGGGCTTCGGCACCGAAGCCATAGGAGGCAGTGTTGTGGAAGCACCTCCAGCAGCTCTAGTGACAGGAGCTGCAACCCTCGCTTCTGATCCCACGGCGGTCACACACTGAAGCTGCATGTAGAGGACAAGAAGTCTGTGTAACCAGCATGCGTGGGATCCTCGGGACTTGGGACCCGAGCGGCTGATAAAGGGAGACGTGGCAAATGCCGAAGCAGTGGCTGAAGCACCTTCAGAGGTGCAATTGGAACGAAGATCAGTGGTGGTAGTGGCTGAGAGGCTCACCGCCCTTCCAGCACTTGGCTGGGTCACCGTGTGTGCACCTTGGTGCTTCCTGATCAACCTGGGCCAGCACAGAAGCAGGAAGAAGGTAGCAGTGTTGAGTGCCCATGGTTGGGCTGATTGGCCTGCCTCGCTGTGAGGCGGCACATGGTCTCGGGCCATGCAGCCGGCCGAAGGGTACCTGGTGGGAGGTCTGCATAGTAGCACAAGGGCTTGGGCGAGGCAGGTCCAGACAGCGTCAATGTAGAGCAGAGTTGCATGGACAATTGCACGCGGTAGCACTACTTTTTGATCGTGGCATGGAAGGGCCGGGCTCGTCGGTTGTGGTGAGAGCCGGCTACACTGGAAGAGCTTTAAGCGAGACCATAGGAAGAGCATGCGGCTCGCTGCTTGCAGGCACCGGATGCCAGGCCACTGTGCTTCACCTGATGGGTGGTTGATAGGGCCAGAGGTGGTGGCATTAGCAGGTGTGGCCGTGATTAGGGTCAGAGGGGCGTATGGGTTCAGGTCCTGGTGTGCCCACCTGTTGTGAGGGTCTGGATCTGGAGCAGGCTGCCGGGACGAGAGCGTGATCTCGATCTTTCGGCATTGCGGGACGTCCCTGAGCCACGAGCATCCTCCCGATACATACTGAGCCACTCGCGAGTTTCACGTAAGCATGCTGTTGCCAACCCCAGGTCAAAGCAAACCAGCCCGTCCTCCGATTCGTACAGCGTGTCGGTGTCGTTGGGCACTGCTCCTGCCAGATCTGCGTGGTGCGGATGGCCTTCTAGAGGGGGCAGTGTGGAAGTGATAGAAGTCGCTGCCAGGTTGTCGGAGGGAGGCGGCACAGTGGCACGGTCCTGAACACTGTCCGAGGCGTTCGGGTCCGTGGTATGTCCTTCAGACTCTTGATCCCCTTCCACTCCACCTTCAGCAGAAACTCCATGAGCGCCCTCAGCAGTATCATGCGAGGAGCCGCGGCGGTCCGGCAGATCGAAGAGGGCATTGCGAAGGTCCCGTGGATCTGTCCTCGGAAGTACGTACTCTTCTGCCGGCGTGGCCTCCCTGACACAAATCATCAATGATCAATGATCGCCAAGTGCTGACCTCGGCATAGGAAGGGGCCCTCACATAGGCCGGCCGGTCCAGTCAACTGGAGATGGTGAAGGATGTTGGCCGCTAAACTGCTCGGTGTACCTTCGGCTTCCCCCGGTGGGGCCCCTGTTGGCCTCGCCGTACCTGCTCCCGTAGAGTCCACTCCGGCTGAGGCTGAGGTCGATCCTGCACTGGGCTCCATCCTCCTGGCTCTGAAGTAGGCCATGTTGAGCGGGACATTGACTGGCTGCGGTGGGAGCGGTCCATTCGGCGGCATACCGGGCGGGATCGTGGTCGGTGGGTGATCCCGTTCCGCCGCCGTCATTGGAGATGTGGGCACCGACCCTTGGTCACTCTCGGCACCCTCCTCATCGTCGTCTTCGGCTGCAGTGGCGTCTTCCAAGACGCTGTCGTGCAGAGGATCGCGGTCCATGTGTATGGCTGCAATGCAAGGATAGCCGAGGCAGGGTGCGGGGAACCCTATATGGCCAGACGACCGTGCAGAGCACTGAAGCCTATGAAGCCGAGGTTGGGATCCGGGCCTAAACCCTAGGATTATGTGTGTGAGGGAAGCAGGCAAGGGCCCTTCTGTTGTGTCAGTGCCTGTAGGACTCAGCAGATGGCATGCAGCAACAACCCTCGACTGAGCAAGCCGAGAACGATAGGACAGGCACCGGTCATGTGTGCATGCAAGAGTGCAGTCTGACAGAAAGCTTCGGATGTACTGAGCTGCAGCGGCGCACTTGGTGTGACGAGCAGCTTCAGTCAGCATGTCCACAAGGAGTCGTCGGCAAAGTAGGCTGACCTGTCGGTGGATGGAGCTTCGCTGTTTTCGTCGATGTCTCCTTCTGTACGGGGCCTGAGCCTTCAATCGCCAACGCCGTTGTGTTAGCCCTGGGCACTTCCGAAGAGCTATTGCTTGATCGGTTGCGGGGCATGCACGGTATATGCTGAGGTTGGGGCTTGGTTTGCACAAGGAGGCTCGCGGATTAGGCCAGGCAGGCTGGTTGCTGTCAGTCCATACAGGAAAGCGCAGTAGCACAGCAACAGAGGCGTCTGACAGTGCAGGGTGTCCACAGACGGTGGGCCAGGGCAGGGTAGCAATGTCGGCACCAATGCTGTATCGAATCCAGGTCAGGTGGGTATAAGGATACCCTCGCTGCCAGTAGAAGCTGTTCCGGTTCGCATCCTGTCCAGCGTGCCTCAAAGGCATCGAAGTACCTATGTGCTCGGCTGTATCCTCCGGCTGCAGTGAACATTGATAGCATGAGCTCATGTAGGAATTCGCTTCGGACCCGGGGACTCGCTTCCAGCAGATCTGCTGTTGTATGACATCGTAAGCAAGCAGTCGGGACCAACGGTATCCCCCAATCATGTATCTTGTTACATCCATGGCTGAACCCTCGAAAAAGCAGAGCGTGCTCAGTAGCAACAGCATCTTCGCCCATGGCATATCGGCGCCCTCCCTGCCGATGAGCTGTGTTCGGTTGTGAGCACAGGGCCAGCTAGGGAGCTTGCGTTCCAAAAGTCAAGCCTCCGGTTTTTCGGCATTGCCCACTCGCTGTGAGCCGAGAAGTTTCTGCTACTGCTACTGCTACTGCTACTGCTACTGCTACTCCAACAACGACAACATCGACAACAACCACAACAACGACAACAGCTACAACTACAACTTCAACTGAAACTACAACTACAGCTACTACTATATCTACAACTATAACTATACAACTACGAATATGGTTACGAGTACAAATAAGGCTATGAATGCGACAACAAAACAACAATCACAACCACCACCACCACCACTACGACGACGACGACGACGACCACCACTTGTACTACATCCCGCCGCTTAAGGCCCCGAGACCAACGGTTGCCGGTGGGCGGAGGACGGGCCTTTCCCCGATTGCCAGGACCGAAGTCGCTTGAATGAGGAGACGGTTGATGATATAAATCCTGCATTACCCATAAAAAAGGAACATACTCATAACTCTCATAGTTTATGGTCCTCAAGGTAATGCAGGATTTATGTCATCAGCAGTACTATAGACTCTGTTTATCAGTTTTGGGGCGCTCGCAAATTATTGAGATGTTTCCAGAATGAAAGAATGCTTGAAGTTGGGGTTTACATGTTGACGCCAATGTAGGTTCAACGTGTTGCATGGAACAGTAGGGCTCATGGAAGGGTTTCGGCTCGTGAGCTCCGGGCTCCTGAGGCATTCTTGTGAGTGTGTGATTTTTTTTTGGTGTCGTTTGTTGGGGGAATGCCGCGAATGAAAACGCTCGTCAGGTCGAAGCCTAAGCAGTTAGCTGTCCGGCTCGTGTATGCAACATGGTAACCCTAAACCCTAAACCCTAAACCTTAAACCCTAAACCCTAAACCCTCCAGCAAGTCCTAGCCCTCGATATCCTCAGTTCGCTTGAGACTCCCGGGTCGTAGATCCCCCGATGTTTGCCACGACCAAGGCTCTCTTGGCGCATGATAGTATAAACCCTATAAGCCCAATAAAACCCTATAGATCCCTTTAAGGGACCCTATAGAACTCTTAAGGAACCCTAAATCCCTTCAGGCTTAGGGGCTCTCTTGGGCGAATGCTAGCGGATCCCTTCAGGCTTACTTGGAGGGTCGGGGGACTTAGTAAGTAGGTAGTAAGTGGACTTATAAGTATCCTCAAAGGGACCCTAATTGGGGTTATGGTACTTATAAGTCCCTAAAATAACCAGTTACTAAGTCCCCGACCCTCCAAGTAGGGGTTTGCGCTCCAGCAAGTTCGGTGTCCTGCGCTTCGCCAAGCCTTGCTCTTGTTGGCCAAGTCGTGGCTTATATCAATGCTTTCGAAAGTCTTCTCGCTAATGCCAATGCCTTCCTAGCTTATATGTATGACGTCTACTTACCCCTAAACCCTAAACCCTAAGCCTTTCCCTGGTTATGAGGTGAGAGCAACGGGCTGGCCTGGAGGCGGTCCCGCATTTCCCATCTAAACCCTAAACTTAGGTACTGCCCCCATACGGTAAGAGTCTATAGTAGGGCCACTATTAAGGTCCTAATATATCTATACTATATGAATTTTATTCAACTATTACTGAGTGGGGGCCTAAACCGTATACATCCAAAAGTGGGAAGAAACAGGTCGCTAGGAAGCCATCTACGGCAGATCTTGAGCCCTTGTTTAATCCTTTCCTGGAGGTTCATGAGTGGTCATTGTTGGGGATATAAGTAAGGTTAGTGTAAGTCTGAAACGTATTCCCCTACACCTCATTCTATGACGATGCAGGATCAGTGTTACCTCGGTGTGGTGGACGTTGCAGCTCCTGCTCCAACTCCTGCTCCCACCGACGCTCGGCGATTTTCAGGCTCTGAGGTTTGTAGGATTTAGAGCGGCATCAGCGTTAAGGATTGGGTTTCTGGCGGGCGATCCTAATGTAGGGGCCGTAGTAATTAGAACGGGGTTTCTTTTCGAATAGTTCAATAAGAAGCCCCCAAAATAGTACTGGTAGGTATGTAGGCCCCGAAAGTAGCGGGAAGCAAATAAACGCATGTAAAAATCGAACCAAAGCACGACAACTAGCATCGACACAGCAACAAGCCCCGGCGGGGTTCTCGGTCTTGATTATTCCATCGTTGTGTTTTCGCTCTTTGTCTAGGTGCGCGGAGTTCATGTCTGATCGCTTCAAGCTACCGTAGAGATCATCACATGAAACCCTAAACCCTAAACCCTGAACCCTAAACCCTCAACCCTAAACCCTAAACCCTAAACCCTCAACCCTAAACCCTAAACCCTAAACCCTAAACATGATTCATTTAAGCAAGGGTTTCGGGGTTTCGGATTTAGTGCCCGGCCACCCACCAATGTCTACTCTTGCCATATAGCCCTCCAGAACCGCGCCTAGTGTCTGCAAAGCCAAACCCCGTACGCACTGCCGAGCTTCACATGCCGAGGATCAGATGGAGGCTGAGCCAGCTGACGAGGAGCAAAGCTGAAAGATGCGTTGAGCAAACGGCGTCAGGTTTTCAGGGCAGTGTGTGCAGCAAAGCAGCCCTCAACATCTTATCAACCCTGAAACCCTGCAAGCTCTATAAGCCCTAAGCCCTAAGCTAAAGCCGGAGCAGCTGTGAAGGAGGCCACCACGACGGCCACTCGTCAGCGAGCTCTCGGTTTTTTGGGCTTCGGGGTTTCGTCAGACTTTGCGTAGGCTTTCCAAAGGTTGTTATTTCCATCTGTCATGGGGTTTCGAAGGGCTGTTTAGAGTCACCCTAAACCCTAAACCGTTTAGAGTTTGCCCTTTTCAGGCTTACGCTCAAATTAACAGGCCTGCGGGCTGTCAAAGTAGGGGGCTTTAGGTGGCTGCAGGGTGCGACTGAAGTAGTGTCAGGGCTTTGGGTCTGCCGGCTTTGGGCCGTTGCTTTAGGTATGAGTAGTCGCACACAGTTCTTACTGGTAGCATAAGAAGCCCGAAAGCACTGTTCTATTTCTAACCAATAAGGCGCATTCCTCATGCCTAAATCGCCCAACCCGTAAATCCTAAACACAGCCCCCGTATCGGACCCCTTGTAGGATGCGTTCTGTGATCCGGTGCCTTAACTGGGGTTCTTGGAAAGGAATTTGGTTTAAGTTACCATAATACGGTTTTTTGTAAACAATATGGTTTCCTTTTTGTAGTACATTAAATGAAATCCCTTAACAAGAACCCAGTTTATCCTGTGAACGTTGCAATTGCTGCAGAAGCAAACACACACCAGTCAGTACGGGGGAGCTGTTTTTGCAAATATGGCTAATCCGTAGTTAGAAGCAAATAAAACAAACGTAAAAAGCGAACCAACGGACGACAAACACCATGAACACAACAACAAGCCTGTGGGGCGTTTTCCGTCAGGATTATGTTATTGTTGTGTTCTCGCTCTTTGCCTGTTGGGTTGTATGATCGCTTCTAGCTGCCCTAGAGCCCTAGAGATCATCACATGATTGCAAGGGTTTGGGATTAAGTGCCCCGCAACCCACCAACGTTTACCTCCTTCCGTGAAGCCCTTCCCCTAAGCACTGCCGAGCTTCACATGCCGAGGATCAGATGGAGGCTGAGCCAGCTGACGAGGAGCAAAGCTGAAATTTGCGTTGAGCAAACGGCGTCAGGCTTTCAGGGCAGTGTGTGCAGCAAAGCAGCCCTCAACATCTTATCAACCCTTAAACCCTACAAGCCCTATAAGCCCTAAGCCCTAAGCTAAAGCCGGAGCAGCTTTGAAGGAGGCCGCTACGACGGCCACTCGGCAGCGAGCTCTCGGTTTTTGGGGCTTCGGGGTTTCGTCAGACTTTGCGTAGGCTTTCCAAAGGTTGTTATTTCCATCTGTCATGGGGTTTCGAAGGGCTGTTTAGAGTCACCCTAAACCCTAAACCGTTTAGAGTTTGCCCTTTTCAGGCTTACGCTCAAATTAACAGG